TGCTTTAATCCGCTCGGGCTGTACTGTCCTACCTGAGCTCCGACTTGGGTTTCGCATCCCGCATTGCTTTCCGGGAGACGTGTCGGTTGCTCCCGGGATAGGGGAATTCCATCAACTCCATCATCTCACCATACACCCTCAAGGGCTTCAGGGACCCCTTCATCTTCAACAGCATCTCTGTGGGGGGAAAGAGGGGGACAAAATCCACCGAGTGACTCCCGGACTCCTGAACAAACTCTGCTTGACAGGTTTCGCATCCCGCATTGCTTTCCGGGAGACGTGTCGGTTGCTCCCGGGATAGGGGAATTCCATCAACTCCATCATCTCACCATACACCCTCAAGGGCTTCAGGGACCCCTTCATCTTCAACAGCATCTCTGTGGGGGGAAAGAGGGGGACAAAATCCACCGAGTGACTCCCGGACTCCTGAACAAACTCTGCTTGACAGGCCCCTCAGACAATGAGCCGAGGGTCTCGTCATGCAGCACCGGCTTTCAAGCTCCTTCGAGAGCAGGTCAGGGCGGGCTCCTTCTAGAGCAAAGGGATGCTGGAGCAATCCCAGACACTGCTGCACGGGCATCTGGAGCGTAGGGATCATCTGCTGTTTGGGAAAATGCATTTTCTCGCTTTGCCAGATGTCTTAGGAAAAGCGTCCCCCTGTGCGGGCGGGGAAACCCTGGAGTAAATTGCTCAGGGAGGTTGTGGAGTCTCCATCACTGGAGATACTGAAGAGCGGGTTAGACAGACACCTGTCAGGGATGGTCTCTAGATCTGCCATGGCCAACCGTGGCTCATGAAGCTCCCCTCCTCCCCCGCCCATGGAAAACAGCCTTCCTCTCCCGGCTTTCTGTGCTGACCTGGGCAGGAGAGCCGTCCGGTGTCACCATTAAAGAAGGAGAATTAAAGATTAAAGATGGCATCAGCCGGTGGAAGCCTGATGTGGCCAAAAAGCCTCTAAACCCGTTTTCTTAAAGGGGCCGAGCTTTTTTTTTTTTTTGGTTCAACAACTTTGCCACTGATATCTTGGCTCTTTGCCCAGAATGGGTTGGCCACCCCTACTCTAGATGGTGCTGCGTCCTGCCGTGGGGGCAGGGGACTGGATTTGATGACCTCTCGAGGTCCCTTCCAGTTATAGTGTTCTATAATGAATCCCATCCCCTCTGCAACTTCTCTGCCACCACCTCCTCCGCATTTACCAGTTTCAGCCTAAGTGGGATGGTAGGCTCTCTCCCTCTGCCCCCTCCAGGCTCCCTGGAAAAGGGGTCAATAAAGGCCCTTCCCTTGCCCCCAAGCAGCTGGCGTGCCAAGTTACCCGCAACGACGTCAACAGACTTGTTGGAAGGGCCACAGTACAAGATGCATTTCCCGGCCTTCTCCTTCTCAAGAGACACTTCCTTCTCCAGCTTCTCCTCGTTCAGCTTGTTAAGCCAGTAGACGATATGGACCCCGACCACCGTCTTCCCCGTGCCTGGATGAAACAAGAAAGGCTGCTGAGCACGTTCCGGCACGGCCCCGGCGGCTAGCGGAGCAGAGAGCCTGCCAGGCTGGAGGGGGATGAGAATTCAGAACTTGACTCGGGCGCAGTCCCACAAAGAGGACTTCACCTCCTGGACCTGACATGAACGTCCCCAGCAGAGGCCCCAAAGAACCGCAGGCCTGCCCCAAGCGGCTGCCATAAGGAGGACACTCGGCCGCCCGCCTCTCTCCTCACCTGGTGGCCCCTGGATGAGCGTGAAGGATTTTCTCAGCGCCTCCAGGATGGCGTTGTGCTGGCTGTGGTTGAGTTTCCGCAGGCTTCCAGGGAGGTCAAAGACTTTTTGAGTCAGGAGTTTGGATTTTTTCCAGGCTACTGTTAAAACAAAACCACCGAAATTAGAGAGGGCACCACACAAGCAGCACATACTGCAGGATCTGGTGGCCCCTGGATGAGCGTGAAGGATTTTCTCAGCGCCTCCAGGATGGCGTTGTGCTGGCTGTGGTTGAGTTTCCGCAGGCTTCCAGGGAGGTCAAAGACTTTTTGAGTCAGGAGTTTGGATTTTTTCCAGGCTACTGTTAAAACAAAACCACCGAAATTAGAGAGGGCACCACACAAGCAGCACATACTGCAGGATCACAGAGCCCGGCGTGGCCCAAGCGCAGCACTCGGAGCCAGGAGCACCCCAATTTAAATCCTGCTTTCACCCCAACTCCCCTGCCGCCGAACCAGCTGTGACGTTGCAGAGGGTTACGCGGCAGCTGCTCTCATACGGTGGCCAGGGCTTGCGACTCCCTTCCCCCTGAGGAAGAAGACTCCCGAGCCAGGGAGCAGAGGAGAGGCAGATGCTGAGGCTAGCAGAGCTCTGTCTGGGAGCGCACTCGCTTCTCCAAAATGAGGAGACAGCTGCAACTCCCGGGTGGAACCAGCTAGCTACAATACCAGGGAGCTGGCCCAGCCCCGCACTATGAAGATAACTTGTGGTAAACCTAGAACCAGGACTGTGTATATCGCCAGGATCTCAAACCTTACCTCAGCAAACACACCCCATGCAGGAGATTTTTACTTTTTCTGCCTCGGTTTCCCCATTGACAGAGTAAGGAGGCCAGAGGAGGCCAGGACTTTAACAAGGTTCAACAAAGAACTAGATACGTTCATGGAGGTTAGGTCCATCTGTGGCTATTAGCCAGGATGGGTAGGAATGGGGTCTCTGGCCTCTGTTTGTCTGGAACTGGGTGGCAGGAGAGGGATCCCGTGAGGATTCCCTGTTGTGTTCCCTCTCTCTGGAGCACCTGGTTTGGTTTTTTGCTTTGAGCGCGATGCATGAAAAGCCCCTGTACAGAGCCAGAGGACTCAGGAGACCCAGGTGCAGTTCCTGGCTCTGCTGATGGGTGATCTTAGGAAGTCACTGCCCCGTGCCTCAGTTTCCCCCATGGGGAAAATTATTTTGGTTTTTTGCTTTGAGCGCGATGCATGAAAAGCCCCTGTACAGAGCCAGAGAGCTGTATCATTCTTGCAGCTATGGTGGCAGATACTGGGTTTCTACCCGGGTAGGGCTCTAATCGTTCCCCCCCCAAGCGTGGAATTCACCGCTGCCCAGTTCTTTGGGCCCCTGGGTAAAAGCAACCGGCTGGATCCCGCGAGCGTTGGCACCGACCTGTCTGCGGAGGCTCCTGGCCCAGCGCGATGCTCTTGGCGAGCTCAGAGGCATTCTGCAGTTTCCAGAGGGCGTTCTCCTTCCGGCTGAGAGAAAGGAAACCCCGGAGTTACCAAAACGTAGCACCAGGGGGCGACAGACACCGCTTTGCTCAACAGCCTTTCCTTAGTCCCCCCGCCCACACTTTGCTCTGTTTATTCCCCACAGGCTCAACGCTGGGAGAGCTTGTGTGAAGAGGTTGTGTTGGGAGAGGGTTACGCTGCCCAGCCTGCACGGAGAGCTGAGCCAGGACGGGTCAGGGAGGGGCGGAGGGGAATAATAGTCCGCAGCGCAGCAGGGAGCACAGATCACATCCCGGCCGGTTTTGCAAAAGGGAAGAGGCTGATTAGCCCCCAGTTGTTCCTGAACCTCCGGGTGCCCAGGAGAAAAGCCAGAGGCGTGTACGTCGGGTGCAGCAGCCCCCAGGGGATTCACAAGACAAGCTGGGGGAGGGGATCTCTTTGCCTCACCCCTTAACCTTCTGCTCTTTAGCACGGCTCGGACAGCAGGGAGCGGGGCATTCTGGGAACGGTTCGGAAAAAGCGACAACCCAAACCGCAGCGTGCCCTGCCAGAAGCCCCGGGGCCAGGCTGGTCCGTGTAAGGGATTTCCAGCAGGCCAGGCACGCTCCTGAGAAGGCTCTATCCCGTCTGGGGATGCGGCCCGGGGAAAGGTCGCCCCATAGCGGCTTGGGTATGGCTGAAATCAAATGACCGAAATCACCGGCTGCCCGCTGGATCTCACTTACACATCCGGAAGCATCTTGGGAATGAGCTCCACCGTGAACCGGGATGAGTCCCGGGAGACCTCGGCAGGCACCTCCTCCATGGACATAAAATGGAGGTAAAAATTCACCGTCTTCTCACCACTTCTGTCCTGTTTCTCATTGTCACCAAACTCTTCGGTCAGCCCGTGGGCCACCCACGTGTACGTGGCCGGATCGACCACGAAGGGGCTGCCCGCTGGGCCCTCATGGGACAGGTGGAGTTTCTGGAGGCCGTGGCTCAGACACGCCTCGTCGCCGTGGCGCCCGCTGAGCGGCAGCCCTTCCAGCCGGATGCACAGGTAGCAGTGGTTGAAGTCTACTTCAATGGCACACTCTTCCAGGAAGCTTTTGGTGAACGAGAAAGTGCCCTGCAGCTGCCCTTTCCTGTTCCTTTGCTTGTCCCACACGATCCTCACCTCCTGCAGGACGATGGAGTCGTTTTCCGCCACCGCGCAGGTGGCCGACTCCATCGCGCTCAGCGGCTTCCACACCTTGGTGTAGTCCGACGGAGACTTGTACGCATCCCTGGAGGCCAGCGTGGCGTAACGGGAGAAGCAGTCGATGGGCTTCTCGGTGTGCTGCAGGCAGACGTCGAAGCCCGGCGCCACGCTCCAGAGCTGCACGATCGGCACCAGGAACCCCCGGAAAACGTCGGTGGTAAGCTGGAGCTGCAGCGCGTCCCCGGGGCTCAGCTCGAGGGACAGCCCCACGTAGTGCGAGCACTCGCTCCGCTCCATGCGCCCCACCTGCCGCTGGCGGGGGGGCTGGCCCTTTCCCAGGAGAGCCATCGCCCTCTCAAGCTCTTCACCTCGGACGGCCGCCAGCATGTCGCGCCAGACCTGCGCGCTGAAGGGGGTGATGTTGCGGTCCCCGAGCGGCGAGGTCCGGGGGGTGCGCTCCTTGGAGCTCGCCATCGAGTACATCCGCCGTTTCCACGTAAGCCTCATGCTGCCCTGCTCCTGCAGGAACAACGGCTGCTCCACGAGCTGCAGAGACCGGTAGCTGATCACCTGGGGGTCCGGCAGGGTCTCGTTGTTCAGCGGGAACAAGGCTTTGAAGAACCTGTTCGTTCCCTCGACGCTCACAACAAAGGCGATTTTCTGCAGCACCTGGCACTGCAGCTGGGTGGCCATCTGCAGGGAAGGGGCCCGCCTCTCGTACGTCCCCGCCCGCACGTTCTTCCTGTTGAAGTCGTGGCAGAGGAACTCGATGTCGTCCGAAGCGTACAGCACCGGCTTCTTGCCCAGCACGGCGTGCAAGTGCCGCTGGACCACCACGTCCACGTAGCGGCGGATGGGGGAGGAGGCCCAGGTGTAAGCGTCGACGTGCAAGGAGTAGTGGAAGGGGCCCGCCTCTCGTACGTCCCCGCCCGCACGTTCTTCCTGTTGAAGTCGTGGCAGAGGAACTCGATGTCGTCCGAAGCGTACAGCACCGGCTTCTTGCCCAGCACGGCGTGCAAGTGCCGCTGGACCACCACGTCCACGTAGCGGCGGATGGGGGAGGAGGCCCAGGTGTAAGCGTCGACGTGCAAGGAGTAGTGGCCGGGCCTCGCATGTGCGGTGGGGTTGAGGCGAAAGAGCGTGGGACAGGTGGATGGACAAAGGGATGACGTGGCTGTATTTGTTCTTCATCTGTCTCAGCTGCTGGGGGTTGGGCTCCATTTGGCACCGGAGAGGGGTGATGTCCCTGGTGTGGTCTTTGTTGGTGAGAAACTCGGCCACGAAGCTGTTGAACATGATCATGAACTCCTCGATCATCTGGTGGGATCCCCGGTCGCCCGGGGTACTGTCCTCGTCCAGCCGATCATAGTAACAGTCTTCCTGCAGCCTGAACTTCCGATGGACCCTGGAGAAGTGATACGCCGCCGCGACGCAGTCCTCGAGGGTGTCAAAGGAAAGACCCTCCCGTTCCCCTCGGTAGTGGCTCTTAATGATGCTCTCCGCCGCCTCGTAGGACAGCTGCCGGTCCGAGCGGATTGTGGACAGAGCGAAGACCCCGTTCATCACCTTGTCTGTTTTCTTCTCGACGGTGACAAACAGGGAGACCACCCGGCGATCCTTGAGGGGCAGGAGGCTACAGAGGTCTTGGCTGATGCGGGGCGGGAACATGCACAGCGGCTCCTTTCCAGGGGCATAGTAAGTAATGCCCCGTTTTCTCGCCTCCACGTCCAGCGCGCTGTCCTTGGGAACAAAGCCAGCCACGTCGGCGATGTGGATCCCAATCTCGTAACAACTGCCCTCGTCTCGGAGACTGATGGCATCGTCCAAATCTCTCGAGCCCGGAGGGTCCACGGTGAAGGTCAGGTAACCCCGGCAGTCCCTCACGCTCTCCTTGGGAAGCTTGGGTTTGCTGGAGGTGAGTTTAGCCAGCTCTTTGGTCACCTCGCTTGGGTACTCTTTCGTCAGCCCATACTCCAAATTGAGGATCTTCAAGCCTTCTTCCAGAGTCAAAGCCATGGGCAGGACCTCGGTGACGATGCCCAGAGGATAGTAAAAGCCTTCCCGCCAGGAGATGACCTGGACACAGAAAAGCCGACTTCTTTTCATCTCCTGGTTGATCTTCTCACAGCTGACCACCTGGAACTTCCCCTTGACCTGCCTGCGGATGGCAAGGACGTTGGGTTTTTCTTTCAGCCCCGGGACGAAGATTTTGGTGACGGTGCGGTCGATGGGGATCATCACGCGGGGGTCGAACTCGTCCATCATGCAGACGAAGGTCCGCTCTCGCTCGGCCTGCTTCAGCACCCCCACCACCTTCCCGTGGGGGCGGGTGGGGCCGCCCTCGGCAGAGCTGCTCTGCAGGAGCTCCACGAGCACCTGGTCGCCAGTGAAGGCCATGCCGCAGTGCACCCTGCCTTTGATCTGAATGTTCAGGGGGGGCGAGTCGTCGAAGGCGATGGCGGTGGCTCTGTCAAAGCCCTCCTTGATCAGCTCACACCTCTTGTACATTTTGGGGTGCATGCGGAGATAGTCCAGCATCACGCGCGGGGAGAAGCTGACGTATTCCAGCCGGCCGTTCTGCTGGGCCGCGGCCTCCGACTTCACGTTCAGCAGCCCTTCTTCAGACACGGTCACCAGGAGGTGCTTGCTCTCGTCCAGCAGCTCCTGGAGAATGGGATCGTCGGGATGCACGTTCTCCAGCTCCGACGCCCAGGAATCCGTGTCGCTGTCGCCCTCCTCCTCGCAGAGCCGCGCCGCCTCCGCCCCTCTCCTGACCCAGCCCTGCTGGTCGGACACCGCCTGCTTAATCTGCTCCAGCGTCAGCGTGGCCGGCGTCACGCTGCCCTTCTCGATGCACTCCTGGACGAAGCGCTTCCAGACCTTGCTGCACTCGCCGTAGGAGCACAAGGCCACCGCGTCGCCCACCGCGATGACCTGCGACTGGGCCCTGGTCATGATGGTGTTCAGCACCCTCGCTTCGTTGAAGAACTCCATGTTGGGGGAGGCTGCGCTGAGCAGGCTTTCCTTGGTGTGAACTGTGCTGATGAGGATGACGCGGAACTCCCTCCCTGCACGGAGAGAGAGAGAGAGAGAGAGGTTACCTCAGGGAATGGCGCGAGAGGGTGACCAGCCTGCCTCTGAGGTGACCAGGCCTCCACAACGCTGCCTGCGGACCCGCAACAAGTGACAGGCCGAAGCCGCCCCCCCGTCGTGATTTCCCCCAGCGACTCGAGAGTTCACCCAACAAAACCAGATCCCGAGAGCCGTGATCCCGACCAACACCCACTGGAGGAGCCAGATAAAGCAAGAGGCAGAGCAAGGCGGCCAACACCAGAGCAGCGTTCGTGGGCCGACGCTCTCTTCGCTCGGACAACGGTCTGCCTCCCTTATCGGCTCCTCGTGAACCCACGTGAAAGGGGCTTTGTTCCCCGGGACGTTTGGGAAAGGGCGTGCCGTTCCAAAAATCCCCAGGGGAACCAGCGGTTTGGTGCGGGAGGAGGAGGAGTCACCATTCACCTGTCTAAACAAAAAGTTTTGTCATCCAGTCCGGGAGCAGACGCCACCCCATCTGGCTCTGGCAGCCATGAGCACTAGGGATGACAAACAGCCCATCGGTGAGTTCATAACCCTCCGGAGAGGCAGAGCACAGTTTGTGGGAAGATGGGAAACACGCCCCCTCCCATCATTCCTTAGTCCCACCACAAGATGTCCCAGCTGCATCATAAAACCAATGCCGAGCTAGCTCTGTCGTCTTAGGAACAAAACAAAACCACCAAACCAAACCCCACCCGCCCTGCCTTCAGCTCCCAGGGCAGTCGCATTTCAGCCACAGCCTCCGGGGGACGTCCCGGGGCAGTTACATGGGGTCAGCGCTAGGGGGGCTTTGCACTGGGGTGCCCTGCGGGTTACAACCCATCCCCTCCTAATGACGCCATTACCAGACCCTCCCTTGGTATCACAGAAATCTGGAGGAGACATGAATCCCACCAGGGCGGTGTCTCCAAGCTCTGGCGAGTGTGGGCACCTCCACAGCCTCCGGGGGACGTCCCGGGGCAGTTACATGGGGTCAGCGCTAGGGGGGCTTTGCACTGGGGTGCCCTGCGGGTTACAACCCATCCCCTCCTAATGACGCCATTACCAGACCCTCCCTTGGTATCACAGAAATCTGGAGGAGACATGAATCCCACCAGGGCGGTGTCTCCAAGCTCTGGCGAGTGTGGGCACCTCGTCGGACCCGGACGGACCTCGGGAGCCCGGGTTTCTGTTTAAAATCCTGGCCACGTGTCAAGCGTCCAAGGAAAGGAACCGCAGGCAGCAGCCGCTTTACATTGGCCGGGGGGTTCTGTGCTGCGCGCTCCGCTGCGGCCCGGGCCAGACAGGGCAGGGATGAGGTGGTGGGGTGAGAAGAGACCTTTGGCTCTGCTGGCGAGGGCCGAAAACAAAGGCAGAGCTTTCTAGGCCACATGTTACAGCAGGGGTGGGGCACCTCCGGCCCCTGGCTTGCCTGGCCCAGTCCCGAGACTCAGGGCTCACCCGCCCAAGCATTAGGGAGCATGCGCTGGTGCTCCAGCCATGCCACCCTGCTGCTGCTCCACTGTGAGGCAGGAGCACGCAAAATCCACTAGCCTGGGCCCCGTAGGCTCTGGTGTGCGAGGGGAATGTGGGGAGGGGCTTTCTCCTCAGTCAGGGGCCACGTCAGGGAGAGGTTGGGTTTTTTTTAATTTCCCTTTTTTTTTCCCCTTGCTTCTCACTTGTGCATGGCGCCCGACTGATTTTTCTGCGGGTCAGTGGCCCCCGGCCCAAAAAAGGTTCCCTGTCCCTGAGCGAAAGGCTAAAAGCTGCTTGGGAGGCGGCGTGTGGGTGCCCTCATCATATCCGATATACCAGGAGTGGGGAATCTTCTTTGGGCCGGGGGTCGCTGACCCACAGAAAAATCAGTCGGGAGCTTGCACCAAAGTGAGAAGCAAAAAATCCCACCCCTCACCAGTGGAAGGCTCCCCAATGCTGGGGGGCGCCCCAAGCCTCAGGGGCCGGATCCAGGCAAGCCAGCGGCTGCATCCAGCCCTCTGGCTTTAGGTTCCCCGCCCCTGTGAGATACAAATGTGGCCAAGATTTCCAACGACCAGGCGATTCTGGGCCCCCAAACGGAGGTACCTTAAGGAGGCCTGGTTCTCAGCAAGGTCCTTTTCGAGGGATTCCAAGTGGGACTGATGCGCAGACCAGCCCTGGAAGGCCCAGTCAGCGGCACCGCGTCAGAACCGAGACCGAACGGCACCGTGTGCCCGGGAGGCTGCCCCGGCGCCACACGGACACATCTGGGCTCCCTCCGCTGCTTTAGAGGAGGGTTCAGAACAGGCCGGAGGGCGCCTCTGCTAACCCGCCCAGCCTTCTCCCGGGACCCTTCCCCCTGCCTGCAGCGCCCTGCTGCGTGGGAACAGTTGCTGGTGTGACCAAGGGAGAGTTCTCACGACTCAAGGGGAGTCCAGAGTAAAACGGCCCCTTCTCCCGGGCACCGGGAGCGGACGCCGGCCCTGCCAGAGCAAGAACAACCGCTCAGCAAAACACCAACCTGGTAAGTTTTCAAAGTTTTCCACGGCCACCTCTCCCAGCTGTTTCTTCTTCAGCTCCTGCCTGATGGCATTAACCTGGCGGAAGAGGGAGGCGGGAGAGTCACAAAGCGGGGAGCAGCTCCCCCGCTGCCCCCAGCCTGCACCCCACCCCAGGTAAGGAGACTGGATACAGCTCATGGGTGTTTTTTTTCCCCCCGCCTGCAATGCCAGAACAGTCGTCTCACAAGCCCGAGTTCCCCAGCTGTCCAGGAAGGCCGGGCAAGCCAACCTTGGTGCATGGCGCTGAGATCCAGCCCCGGAGCTCCACCCAGGACTAGGGATGTGAAAGCGTAACCGTGTAACCAGCTAGCCGATGAGCCTGGGCTACGGTTGAACGTTCTCAGGCTCCGGGTACGCGATGGCAGCTGGCTTAGATGCCAGTTCCCGGCACTCCCAGGGAGCCACCTGCCCCCCCGCACATAACTGCTGACATTTTCAACGGTTAGTTAATTCCACGCATCCCTACGCAGGACAGACTCGGACTCACTGGGGCAGGGATCCCACTAGAGAGACGTAAAGGACAAAACAAACACCCGAGGCTCGGGGGAGGAACGGCATCAAGGACAAACAGCAGGAAAATTCTGGGTTGCCTGTCGAGCCGAGAAGGATTTCAGCAGATTTGCTGCGCTATAGACCAGTGTTTCTCAACCCCCTTTTTTTTTATAAAGTACCCCTTTTTTAAAGAAAAAATTGGAAGTATCCCCTGCACCTACAGTTTTCAGACACACAATTTTTTTTCTACCACTGCAACACATTTGTTTAAGCAACTTAATCGTAGCCGGGCGGACGATGAAATTTTTGGGTGTAAAAAGTACAAAAATAATAAAACCCTGTACAACTTAAAACAAAAATTCAGTTTTCTCCAAATTTCAGTTGTGTTGACGTTCCCCCCCCAGACTTCTCTCAAGTACCCCTAAGGGTACTTGTCCCACTGGGTGAGAAACACTGCTATAGACTCTGCCCCCCCTAAAACTTCCCCATTATAAAGAGCCCCCCAGCTCCCATCCCTTCCCCTCCCCTACGCCGTGAACACCCCCTCGGCCAAACGCACCGCGTCCGGGGTTTGCCAGCTACCGAGAGGGGTGCTCACAGCAAACAAACCGAGCCCAGCGTTTGGCGTTTACAAAGCGTCCCACGCAGCTGCCGTGCGGAGCGACGGACCCACATAGCCCTGCTCTCCCGGGGCCCTCCTGCCTACCTGCATGCCATGGGAGACCACGCAGATCCTCTTCAGGTCCCGGGCTCCCCATTCATCCGGCCACTTCTGGCGCATCTCTTGTACTTTCTCGATCACCTGCATGATCTCAGAGACGTTGTACCAGGATGTCATGGCCATGTCCCGCTCGGTGGAGCCCGGCACGTGGCAAAACATGAGCGGGTGGATCTCCGGGTGGGGCGGGATGTTGCCGCTGGCATGGATGGCGTTGCCTTTGCTGACGTAGAAGTTCTTGGAGACGAACTCGATGATGCCGGCCGTGGAGCGGTAGTTCTCGTTGAAGATGATCCTGCTTTTCAGCGCCACCTCGTGCTTCTCCCTCTGATAGTACTGGAAGAGGCGGTTCAAGAGGGTGTGGTCGGCGGACTGCCCCCCGCCCAGGCAGAACAGCTTCGGGGTCACCTGCATGTGGTCGCCCGCGAGGACGATGCGGGTCTCAAAGGTAGCATAGGAGAGCGGGACGAGCGCTTCGCATTCCAGCATCTGCGCCGCCTCGTCGATCAGGATGTGGGTGAAATACCCGGGGGACACCCGCAGGTTCTTGGACAGCATGGAGGTGGTGATGATGATGCGGTGCCTGTTGAGCTCCTCTGGGGTGGGCTGCCGGAAGGACATCTGGTCCGGGGAAAGGCAGCAGTACAGCCGAGTGATGGGGTCGGTCAGGCTGATGGCCCGGTCCGTGTATTTGATCCTCAGGGGGATGGCCCCGGGGTGCCCGCTGGTGACATACTCGTGGAAGTACTCCCGGACGTAGATGTCAGCCGCGCTGGAAGGGAGAGAGAGAACCGGAGCGTGATGTTGGTCAACCAACCTCCAGCTCTGGCCCAGGCTATAGGGGTGAGCTAAGAGCTGGCAAGCCAATTTCGTTCAAAACAGGGAACGGTCCTGTAAGAATGAATTCAACGTGCAGGCTCTACGACAGGCTCGTAGGCTGGGCCGGCCCCGGATCTCACCAGCAAGGTCGGGATTCCACACTCCACGCAAACACGCCCGTTTCAAAGTCTGGAGAACTTAGAAAACGTTTGCTCTCCACTTGCGAACCTAAGGGAATGGTCTCCCTTGCCCATCCATCCACCTCTTCTTCCTGCCCCCCGCTTCCTGCTGGCCGCGGGAGAACGCTCCTCGGTACGGGACAGCGGGGCCACCTCTAAACACTGGCCCATGCGCCTGGACGCTTTGAAAACTCTTCGCCTCAAAAGGCAAGTTTAGTTTCCTTAGGGAAACCCTCGCGTCCCCTCATCCCCATCAGGAGTGCGGGTGGCACTGCTGAGCACCCAGCATAGAATCATAGAACCATAGAGCTGGAAGAGACCTCAGAAGGTCAAGTCCAGCCCCCTGCTCTAGGCAGGACCAATCCCAACTAAATCAACCCGGCCAGGGCTTTGTCAAGCCGAGACTTAAACACCTCTAGGGATGGAGACTCCACTACTCCCCTAAGGAACCCATCCCAGTGCTTCCCCACCCTCCTAGTGAAATAGTTTTTCCTACTATCCAACCTGGACCTCTCCCACCACAACTTGAGACCATTGCTCCTTGTTCTGCCATCTGTCACTACTGAGAACAGCCTCTCTCCATCCTCTTTGGAACCTCCCTTCAGGAAGTTGAAGGCTGCTGTCAAATCCCCCCTCACTCTTCTCTTCTGCAGATTGAACAGACTCAACTCCCTCAGCCTCTCTTTGTAGGTCATATGCTCAGCAGTGCCCCTAGGACCTCCCACAGTGTCGCCTTGGCAAGCAGCCCCAGGGGAGCGTAGCCAGGTACCTGTTGGTGTGGGTGCAGATCAGCACTCGCGTGTTGGGCTGCTTGATGATCTCCCTGGTGGCCATGGCCAAGGTGAAGGTCTTCCCTGTGCCGAATGGCCCATAGATCAGCAGAGGGGGGACCGGTCGGGGGCCGGTGGCCGGGCCGGTGATGAAGGAGATGGCCTGGTTTTGCTTCCTGTTCCCGATCCGCGGCAGCGTGGGGGAGGGAGGGATGGAACAGGCTGCCACGTCGGGCAGGATCAGCCGTTCGTCCAGCAGCTGGTCCACGGCGTAGGGCCCCAGCCGGAAATGCAGCCGGTCG